TATGAAATAAGAACAGAAAGAAATGAAACTCTATATATTTAGTACCTGAATGCTGATTGTCCCTTTACTCTGTAAGAATCTGAACACATTTATCCGCATAAGCAGAGGAGAATTAATTCACGGAGGCAAAGGTTTTTGCAGCTGTTTTATAGGTTGTTTTTAGTAAATTGAGAGTTTAAGATAGACAAAAATTTCCATCAAGTAATTCCCCAAGTCCGCGTCTACCTCAAAAGAGAAATTGAAATAAGGTCTATTTCTTTTTTTTTTCTCGCTTTTTTCTTTTAGCAGTTTTAATAACTAATTTATATAATATCGCAATGAACTGAATGAACCGACTAAATTATATGACTAACGTGACTATTCATCGACAACCAACGCTTTTATTATTTCATAATAGTATTTGACTTTCAAATCCAAATTATGCGAAATTTCCTTTACTCTAAATAATTTTTTAAAATTTATTTTCATGAACACTGACTTACTTTTCTGAGCCGGGAATCCAAAACTACGGATCTCATCTCAAAAGCATTTTCATTTTCTTCTTTTATCAACTTTTCGAAAACGAAAACTTATTTCCGCGGTGTTATGTCCCCGAATTAAAATGACCTGTCAGTGGAAAGATAAGTATATTTTTACTGACTGGGAGGTCCTTATAGTAGAAATCTCCGCTAGAGGGCAGCATCTTCAAGTTTTCACCATACGGACCATCCCTTAGCCGGGTAATAGCTTACCATTACTTTTTTTTTTATCTCAGTTTGAGAACGGGCGGTATTTTATAATTTTGTGATATGATTGGTTCTAGGAGCGGGGAATCCCGCTTCTCCCCCTCCCACCCTCCCTCTTCCACACACGCACACACACAAACGCTCGCAGCGGGCGATATCTGTGGGGTGATGAGTTGTGTTATTTATAAATATCCTTTTTTTTTCGGCGGGACAGCGTGTTTAAAACCTTACTCATGGTTCACTTCTAACCAACCTTCAGCAGGCAAATGACTTATCTATATTTTTACTCCTTTTCAAATCATTTTGGCTGTCTGCATAAAATTGGTTTTCAAAGAAATCTGTTATCGCAAATGTAGTATTGATTGGGTTACATCACTTGAAACGCCGTCTAAATACCATAGGTATTTTTTTACTCCTTCGCCAAAGGTACTTAGAGAAGTATTTATTGCCATTTTAATTAATAATTCTCACTTTCAGTCATTTAATGCCTGGATTCTCCTAAAATTTCTTTCGGTGAACAAAATTTAGGCTTAGTTTTAAGTTCTTCTTAATCTAAATTTTCGGTAGGCCTATGAAAGTTCTTTCAATTCAGGATTCCACATGAGAAACCGAAAGAATTCGGTGAGTGAAAGCCGAGTTAAATCCCCTCGTTTCTTGTTTAAGTTATCTCATTTAACCTCAGTTATCAATCGCCAATAGAGGCGGAAAATACTTTCCGATAAATTATTTGACTGGTTCTTAGAATTATCGATTTAGAGCAATTTCTCGGTGCCTAAAGTGAGTGTGAAGAGTCGAATAGCAAGCCAAGTTCTTTTTGGGTTTGCTTTACTTTGCTCTTTGATTGGTCCAGAAAACTTGCACCATCCTGTCAACCAATCAGATCTAACTTAAAAGCCAATCGCGACTTGGTCATTCGCGTTTGCCTGCGCTCCAGGCATTGTACCTAAATTGTCACCTTTCTCAAACACTAACCGAGTTCTGGTTTCTGGGCTGATTGCTCCAGGAGTGGTCAACGAACTCCAGGCGTTGCGCATGGAAAGTTTCAAAAATGAGGGAAAAAAATCGTGTCATAGTCAACTGAAGCCGGGTAAGAGGCAAACTGTAACACCGTTTGCGAATAATCTCATAAATTAAACAGTTTACAGTTTTCACTTCTTTTTATTTTTCTTACTCGAATTTGTTTCAGGCCTGCCAGATTTCTTAGATGCCTTTCTATACAGATTGTACAAGATCATTCCAACGGCCAAAATCCTATTTGCAGCAGTAACTTTGGATCGAACTTTTAATGGACATGAGCTCGGTTGTAAAAGTAAGTACAGAGTTGGCTATGTGTGAATAAAGCAAAAATAAGAAAATGCTAGGATCTGCAGTTTATTTAGTAACGTGGATTGATATTAATGTCATGAGTAGCAGAAAGATTTCCGAAGAACCCCATATTATTATTGTAATAAAGCAATTTAAAGTCATAGTCCCAGAGGCAATATATTGTTTCTGCCATTGATCCGCAAAATGAAGTATGGGGCTGTGTAGATATATTGCTAAGTGAGGGAAAAGGAAAGGCTTCTCGACCATTCCCTTTCTATGCTATTACAAGAAATTTAAAGGAAATTTTTTTCCTTTTTGGCTATTACCACATGCCCAACAGATATCTCGTTCGTGATTGGTCAATGACTCATGCCAAAATAAGTTCTGGAGTGCAACACAGGATTTACATATTACACGTGCTCAGAATTAAAGACAAACAAAAAATGCTGAGTTTTAAGTGTTTTGAATAAACTTTAAACTTGGTTGAAATGTCACAATTATTTTCCAACTCCGTGAAAATTTCTTATTTTAAGGACAAACAATGAGATTTAAAAAGTGAAAAAAAACCGACTTTGTGTTTTGCAATATATTGTTGGTGCGACTTTGTTGAATGTATAGCTAAAATTCTATCTTTATAGTACGTTAAATTGAACCAGTTGTGAAACTCTACCAGCACGAAATGCATGCTGGTTGAGAAATCACATGAACATCACGTGCTCGTCATATAGGCTGAAACAAGGAGAGCGGCTCAGTCCTCACCATTCGAACCTCTTCAGTGTACATTACCATTCGTGCTATTGGAGTCAATTTCTAACACCGGCCATTTGATTTGAAGTGGTATAAAATGATTCTGAACTAGTCTCGGCCACATTCTGTCTTTCCCCGTTCCGCCCGTAAATGCGCAAAGGCGTTGTAGTAGACGCTACGCGCTAACGAACCAAACTCGTAACCTGGTATTCCATAGTCGTATGTAGGAAAAAAAGGGTGGCGCGAGATTTCTAGACGAATCACAGTTTATTAAAGATTTCATGCTTAAGAAAAAAGGGAGAAGAATACGATTAACTAACGCAATTTCAGATAGGAATGAAAACACTTGAGAGTCGATGATACGCGTACCCTGGTGTTCCACAATCATATATCAAAGGTGCGAACTAAAATGTTGAAATCTCTTTCTCGAGGTGGAGTTGAAAGCTTAGCTTGTCCCGTAAATGGAGTTTTTACAACAAGACACCGGTGAATTTGAAGATAATATAAGTTCGAATATATTTAAAAAGAATGTTGTATTTGTAATTATATGTAAAAAGTGATTTAACTGCAGAAGTATTCATTAACAAGCTAATATGCATGAACGCCTTCTATTGATTTACCTTTTCTCCATATGTTTCATTTTATAAAATAATCAGTTCATGCAGATGTGTTCTGAGTGAATTAAATGTGTGAGAAAACTTTTTTTGTTTGTTTGTTTTTTTTGTCGTTAAAGGCATAGCTG